TATATATTTTACATGTATTATATATACATATACATAATTACATGTTTATATATATGGCATTATATGTGTGCTTGAGTAGTTATGTATGCAGGGCAAATACATTTGCCAAATGAAAGATAATCAAATTGCAGAAAATCACAGCCTGCTCCCAGATAATTCATGAACTGAAAAAGCCTAGAGTCATCGGATGAGTCTCTTGGCTTTGCTTTTTTTCTGCTCTGCATTTCTGGTATTATATGAACTGCTTAGTAGTATCTGTGTGCGCTCCTCTACCTACATGTCAAAATTAGATTAAACTATGTGTCATAGACACTATACTGTTAAACAATAACGGCAATTCTCTTGTGGCACATACCTTTTCAGCAGAACAGATGCCTCAGCTGTTATCGGATTAAGAGTATGTGAGTTCTGCTCCCAGTTTCTCTCTGAAGATCAGACTGAGTATAACAGGGTGGCTGAGTATAACAGTGTGAATACGGTGGCACAAGGATTTGCTTGTGGCAGGGTTTAACATCTTTTGTGGTTCTACATGCATCAGGATGAGCTTTTTCTCACAGGAGGAGCATGTGATGAATTGTGTATGCTTAGCACTGAAAGTGGAGGAGTGGGGAATTTAAACTTCTTAGCTGTGTGTGATAGACCTAGCCAGTGAACAGCTGGTGGAGAGACTCTTTTAGCTCTAGGGGTGACAGCTTGTGTTCTTGGGGGTACAATAGGATTAGATAGCAATTTCCATTCGTTTCGAAATAACCTTGCTCAGGAGGGTCAGGAATCTGGAGATGTAGGAACCCATAGCTCACTATTTGTTACTGTAAGTTTTATTGAACATTATGCTCTAATTAAAAAAAAAAAAAAAAAAAAGCTTTTGGAATCAAATTTGACCTGAATATAACTCCATTGGCTTCTGCGTTCTTACACTAGGGATTAATTTGGCCCTTTCTACTTTTATGTAATGAGCTGATTGCCACAATATCTTATCCTCGTTACACAATCGCCCTTGTCTGGCTGTGTCCCTGGAGCACTGTGTGTGTGTGTGTGTTTTTCTAGATCTAGGGTCTCACCTTGACTGACTGTGTATTTAGTCCTACAGCCTCACCCCGACTACAGGTACATGCTTGCCTAGGACTTACACTGATATAGTGTATGTGTGAGTATATATGTGCATGTTCATTCCAAGTCCAAACACTATGTACAGACAAGCATACGCATATGTGGGAATTCAGGGGCTTTTTCATTTGGCTGGCTGTATCCCTGCAGTGTTTGCTTTTGCAGGGGGTAGGGGAGAGAGGGAAAGTTACTATCAGAGATCTCATTTAAACAAGAAGGAGCATAGGAAAATACATTCTTTATTATTCTTCTGTAACAACAAGCCAGAAATATAATATACCTTTAAAAATTTTCTGTCTCATGCCAAAGAAACCTCCATTCAGTCATTTTAGAAAATCTTGTTGCTCTCCCTCAAACAGTAACGAAAAGAAAAAGAAATTACAAGTGCCATCTGTTCCCTGCAAGAAATGTGCCTGCCTGTACCACAAGTGGGTGTGTGGGGAAGGGGAGCGGAGAGAGCAGAAGGGGTGTTTCTGGTGGCCCGGCCAGCCCCTCCATCGCCCTGGCACGTGTCGGACCTGCCTGCCCCAGAAGACCATTTCCTGGGGGCAGGCACCTGCATGTGGCATTGGTACACCTGCCTGCAGCAAAGGGTGCGTTCAGAGGGATGCCCCCAAGCCTAGCCATGCCTGCAGGGAGAACGGGAGCCCCTGTCCCCACACACCAGAGGAACCCATTGCCTGGGCACAGAAGGAGCACTGGGTCTTGTTCTGTACCCAGCATCCCACAGGAGAGCTTTGTTTCTGACCACGCTGGGTACCATGTTCCCTAGAGTGCCCGTGGGCAGTGTAGCAGCTCAGTCACACTAGGGCAGCCTGTTTTCCAGGTGTGCTAGGGAACAGAGTAAGAGCCTGTTTGCAAACAGTGGTATAAAGAGGGCATTTCCCAGTGAACCCTGTTACTCTGCTCTGCATGAAAGAGGACAGGTCCTTGTCCTTCCAAGCACAGTATTTGCTTTCCAGTGGGACTCCCCAAAGCAGCCAGCCTTCATGTTTCTCAGCAACTCTTTTCTCCCCTTTCCTGTCTTCTCCTTTCCTGGGTGGGTTTCTAAACATAGCAGTCCCTTGTCTAGGGTTGAGATGAATCCAGACTTTCTGCCTTATAAAGGAAAACAAAAAGGAAAAGATGGGCAAGGTCGTCATCAGCCCCACAACACAAGATATAGAAAATATTATTAGCAACAAAGAAAAATTGGTCAGGGCAGGAGGAGGTCACAGGGAAGGTGCAGGAAAAGGAGGATTTCACCCCTCCAGACCCTGCATTGTCCCCTGCCTCCCTCCCATTCATTTTACCTCTAGTCTATCCCCTTAAAAACAATGTGTCTCTCACTCTCTTGCTCACTCTCACACACACACACGCACACACATACACACACACACATATATAGATCCCATTTGTTTTGTGCAATATTTCACCATTATTTGATGCAAGTAAAATATAGATCTTTAAATATACCACTCTGACTCAAGTCCCATTTCAAGTATGATTGTGGAGTCCAGTATGGTAAAGGGAGAAGTTCCCCTGAGAGGGAGGTTGGGGAGAGGTTTGGATCCAGGAGGCAGAGTCTATCTCTGGCTTGCTGGGAATGTGGAGCAGGAGTAACACGCATACGGAGTCTGCAGTGCACCAGTTCTGCCCTTCGGAGTGGGCTATGGTTGCAGCAGATGGGATGGTTGGAGTGGCTATACAGTGCATGGGCAAAGAGTCCTTCCTCCTCACATCTTGCCAGCCCCCCTCCTCCTCCTCCTCTTCCACACAGGCGGTGTGCTGGGAGTGGGGGTACAATGTGTGCACACACTTGTGGGTGGACTGCTTCTTCCAGTCCTTCTTCCAGGGAAGCCTGGTCATCTGCTTCCTGAACATCCTCCTCCACATGTCCCTGCATCAAAGAGAAGTCATGCTAAAACAGTCCAAAGCATCCTGTCTCTTTGCCTCTGGTGGCCCTGGGTAGGCCAGGAGGGACTTTGCCACTCCAGGCTTTGATTAAGACTTGGCATTGTGTGCCCATGGGTCAGTACAAACACCTGTCTGGGACCAGAAGGGGGTGAGGAGCTAGTGTGTATCGCTTTCACAGGGATCCCGCAGCAGCGAGCAGGAGGGCTGCGAGACATCCGAAGCCATCGGGATCCAGCTGGAACAGGGGGAAGAGGTGATGTGCCCCGGCAGAGTCCACTTGCAGTGCGTGCTGGGCTCTGAACACAGGTTGCTAGCGAAACACCCTGCAAAGCTGGGCTGGCTGCCAGCTTGTTTCCTGATGGCAGGGATCACACCATCCACAGGCACTGCGGATGCACGACCTTCAGTGTCATCTTCCTCGCCCAGGAATACCCACTGAGACGGGTTAGAGCAGGTTACCATGGCAATGTGCGCTCTCCCCTGGAGACAGCATTTTATCCCACTTCCAGTGATACAAAATGAGTCCTTATGTTGAGTTCCTTTCATTTTTTTTTCCCCTCGCACTTTTTTTTTTCTTTCCTGTCAGGTTGGAAAGAGCTAAGACTAATAGGAGGCACTGCAGTCTGAGGGCTTTAAAATCTGGTTGGGGGAAGTCACCCACCCTACATGACAGTGGCAGTGTGCGCAGTTGTGTGTGTGGGCACACTCATGTGCAGCTGTGGATGGCAGCAAACTCAGCAGTGATGGCGAGGGGAGTGTGTGTGGGCTGTGCAGGGTACAGTGTTGGCCCCTTCCTGGGCTCTCCCACCTGTGCCACACTGTGGTTCAGGTTTCAGCCTTCACCTCAAGACCCTCCAGAATTGTGCCGCCTCTCTTCAGTCACCCCAGCTGCATAATGCTACTCCATACACCATGCTTGCCTTTCTGCCAGACACACCACCTCTTGGGTTGTGTGTCGTCTTCTCCCGCCACCTTCCCCTAGGCTTACACTACTCCTCAGCGTGGCTTACAATACCAAGGCTGGTAAGCCACCTCCTCCTCTAGTCTTTCCTGATGACCCGCTTCTGCTCTGCCAATCAAACATTTCCAAATGGAGGCTTCATATCCTTACCCTCTCAATTTATCATAGAAAGCATAAAGTAGATAACAAGAACACACCTTATTTTTTCATGCTGTGTACTTATTTCCACAGACTCATGCTGCAACCTTAATAACTTTGCCTCTCTCCATCCTCTCTTGCCCATTTCCACTGGCTCTGCACTATGGCTGAGATGTTTTTGTTAGCTCCTCAGTGGCAGGGTGCATGTATTTTGTCTGAAGCAGAAGGTGCTGTGCATTGTTATGATGAGAGTAAGGTAAAGTGGCTGAATGTATTCATGGCTGCAGGCAAAGGGCAGATCAGCATGGGCACATGTGGCTCTGCATGCACAGGTGGGGTTCCTGGATGTCTGGAGTTGGGGCTGGCTGTGTGTGTGTGTTGGGATCAGAATGAGTCAGTAAGCATGTGTGTGTACAGGAGGACGGCTCTGTATCTGTGCGCCAATAATGAATGACGTGTGTGTCAGCTTGCAGATTTGGCCTTGTCCAGGCGCAAAAAGAGGGACGCTGTGCTCCCTGTCAGCATGTTAGAGCGATACAGGTATCTTTCCACCTTTAAAAGTGAGAAGGGAGATCTCCCCCGACTGTTGTCATCCCCTTAGGGACCTTCCCTCCCTTCTGATGTGCTCTTGGCAGCACTGACTTGTAGGGTGGGCAGCAACTTACTGTCACGCAACAGCAGTGACCCTAACAGCAAGGCATGGACACGTCTGGTGTCCTGCTCCTCACGCAAGCTTTCACAGAGCTGCTCTCTCCGTTTGCAGAGAGCTCTTGACAGGATACAGGACAACTCAGGACTGAAGCTGAGAGGATGACACAGGTTCCCAGAAGGTGCCAGCTGCCTCCACAGCAGGCATGCGAGGGAAGCTCTGTGCAAGGGCATGAGGCACAGCAAGCACTCGAGGTCTGACTCTACTTTATTTGTCTGGGAGGGCCCAAGGGTCAAAGGGCACAAAACGGGCCTGGGGCAGAGGAACAGAAATTGAGCCAGGTGCCCTGACCCCCCAGAAGCATGTTGCACTACTTGGGTGAGTGGAGCAATAGCACAGTCTGTCTGTCTGTCTGTCTGGGAAGATGTATTTTGGGAGGACCCCATGCTTGACTGCTCTCAGGTACCTTTGTTCATTGCTGTCCCTTCCTTCCTAGAAGAATTTCATGCCACAGAAGAGATTTGTTTTTGCTCTTCATGTTCACCTTCCGTGTCACCCATGAGCGGCTGCCTCTTCTTCAGCTCCCGGTGGTACTTGGCCATAAGGGAGGCATAGATGCAACCATAAGCAGCTGCCACCACCATCATGATGCAAACAATGCCGCAAACCACCCCTGCAATGATCACAGTGCCAATAGCCCGGCGCACGCTCACAGGCCTATATCGCTGTTTTTGAGGGCATCCCACACTGGGCTCCACTTCTGTTTCTGGGCCCGATTTAGATTTGGAAGGAGTTGGGCTTCCTTTAGTGCAGGGTGGGCCAGTATTGTCCAGCACTGTAGAGCTGTTCTCATCATCCAGCTGGGAGCAGTAGTTAAACATCTCCATGGGCACCATTCGCATATCCTTCCCTTTCAGCTCCTTGGGCAGGGTACATGCCAGCTGGTCGATTTTCCCACCTGTCCCAATAGAAATAATAGGAGTGAACAACAGCTTCATCCTGATACAGTGATAGCAGAGCTAGATCCTCAGGTGGGGTAAGTTCCTATGACTCCATTCACACTTGCTAAGGATTTGCCCTACAGAAGTCAGGCATAGCAGCATTATGGTTATTAAGTGGGGAACTGCTTTATTATAGCAGTGGGGCTATAAAATCCAGTCCCTCATGAGTGAATGCATTGCTGAGTAGAGAGAGTATTCAGAGAGCTTCTCCCATCCCCAAAAGGCAGCCATGGTCTAGTGCCGGATGTTTCTAGAGTTCAAGGGTGACACTGAAGTCAGGAGGTGCTCCAGACCCCCATGTCCTGCCAGATCCATAGTGCCTGTCAAAGGGAGGGAGTGCACCTTCATGCACCGGGCAGAAGCACACGTGACAGCCTTTAAAATTATTCTTTTGCCTAACTTGGAGACATTTTGCTTGCCTTAGCCCTCCACAGCTGGAACAGCTTCAACCATGGCAGCTGTTTGGGATGCTTCTGCCTGGGTTGGATTTGACAGTAGAGCTCATGGTGCATGGTATCTGCATAGACATCTTTCAGGCCAGGACATGAAAGCCCTCTGAAACTGTCTATTAAGTCAGCCTCATACTGTTTAGTGAGTTATGTGTCAGTAGAACCATTTTAGAAAAGGAAAAATTAAAGCAAAAAGATAGGACCAGGCTGTATCTTCTCAAAATAACAACAGACGCACAGTCCCATCTTCTAACAACTAATCCATCCCCCTCTGTGAAAATAGTGACAGATGTTGAAACAAATGCTTGAGTGAGTTTGGGCAATTTCTTTGGAAGGGGAAAAAAAGGCAAAATTAACTCCGTGTGCTTTCCATAGACTCTGTGATATGAGAGTCAAGAAAGAAAACAAACCAAAAGAAAAAAGAAAGAGGAAAACAGCACTTGTATGCTTGTTTGCTTCTGCTCACACAAACGCATGTTTCAGACTGCAGTGTAGCCATAGGCATAGATAATCTCTT